AATAGCATTTGTGGTATCAAACACGGTGTCAGTTCGAGATGACAACCCTAACTCTAATTTTCAACCCCAACGTCTAACTCTAAATTCTAATTCCTTACAATAACCTAGAACCATTTTTTGTCCCTGGTGAATAGATGAATTTTCACGAAGTCACTTTAGCATCGGCCAAAGTCCCTTCATAAGTTATGGTCTCATCGTTAATAACTAGTCTTATTTAAAATTACCATTAAAAAATTAATAACTCATGAATATTAAAACATTATTTTGTACGATCGTGTCACTTGGACACTGATTCGATGTGAGGATAGCTTTCGTTAACTGACTGATCAGTTATCAAGTACTAAATTGAGTAACTCATATCTTCCAAAAAACTGCCAGCAAAATTTAATTTTAAAGGCATTTTCTTATAATCATGTGTCTTAGCAAGAATTTTCAATAAGAAGTAAGGATTTATGAAAAATCACCCCTTGAATTCTAATGTGTTGCACAACTATTAGTTGTAATAATTGGTTGCACTTTATTAAATTAATAGGGCAGATCTCATTCTGGTTCTGGATAGAATTTTATGTTATTTTGAAAATATGTTGTAGTCTTATGAGTTAATACTTGTATACAGTTATTTTCAACAAATATGTATTCAATTTTGTTGTGCCATATCATAACATCATTAGGGTAGAACTGTAGTATACCAAGAACCCTAAGGAGTCCATCAAAACTAAGATAACCGATATTAAATATTAGCACTAATCTAAAATGCTATTGAGGGTAGTTTGTTGATTGAAATCACGTTTTGATTTTATTTCATATTTTGAAATGACTAGACGATACTTTTCTTGTGGAATAAATTGCTAAGGTCAGCATTTTAGGGTTAGGAGTATCAAGGTTAAGGAGTTGCGTTAATGCCAGTTTACTGTGATGTGAACTGTTGTCTGATTTAACTCTAATACTGTGACTAGTAAACTCTTAGTTCTACCACTCTTCTATTATAACACTCACAAAAGCTATATTCTGATTAAATATTATCTGGTTGGCTACACCCAAATCCCGTGAATGTCATTCGTACAGTATAATTTTAACATCGTTGGTTTTCAACCACGTTGAAAGTCAAACTTACTTACCTCTTAGTATGAATAAGGATCAAACCGTAGTAATGACTGAGTGGAGTTAAAAATAATAGCCCGAAAGTGTTATGACTAAAGTGATAAATGTAAACAGTATGTTTTATTTCATGCAAGATAAGAAAGATATCATAGTAGGATGAAACAGCTATAAAGCACCCTGTTGTTTTAAACACTATGATGAAAACCACGTTCAAGATAAATAATCGAGTTACCACTTCATTAATTCGTGATTTCATGTACTGTGATCAAATTAAGATGATGTTGCAACACGGTTTTCAACACGAATTTATATCAGCTATAATGCCAAAACGCTATTTAGACAAATAAGTGAATGAATTTCGCGCCAAAATCCAAGACCTGTTATCCTAAATCTGATTGGTTCGTCCATAAATTATAGTCTCGCCTAAAATCCTTATTGACTGGTACGGTTAAATCTATTTTGAAATCCCTAATGATTGTCGACAGACATGAGTATCAATCTTAGGGTAATTTTCTGATATTTTTAGAGTTTACTCCTTTTATAATTCCAGTGTATTTTTGGTAACAAACGTTTTTATTAACTTTACAAATTCTCTATTAAATGTCAGAAATAACCAGAACAAATTAGATACTCACACAGGAAACTTCAGTGGATAGGCAACACAAAATTCTGAAACAACGACTACCTCACTTTTACCATCCTAAATCTCTTATCAATATAGTGATTTCAAATCAACGTGCACCATTTATGTACTAAAACATGTTGTAAGAGATTCTTTTCTTGAAATTACCTCGCTTAATTTCAGCAAATAAATCCTAAGAATATAAGATTTAACCTGTGAATTTATCAAAATGAACGAAAGTTGCAATACCGATGTAATCTGATAACTAGTTGTGACTTTGATAGGCTAAGAGTGGTTTATTGACTACAACATATAATCATCAATATGCTACTGTTTATTTCTTCTCTTATATGAGTTAACAGTCTCGTGTTTCCTCCATAACTCCACTTATTTTATTTCCGCATTTCATCCAATCTTATCGAATAACACCCGTGATATTCGGTAAAATTGGATAGTGGCTAGCAGCGAAATCTAGGAAAAGTGTTTCTTACTTATGACTTATCAGCTACATGTACGTGTATTCTAGTGTCGATATTCAAATCAAGACTCAAACCCAATATTCGCTTAAGATGCCCGAAACATTATCTACTAAGCTACTGAGTCACGATGGCAGCGGGCTTGTGAGATGTGTACGAATTTTGTTTTAACGGTTTATATCTTCCCGTTGTTTATGTTAACGACAACAAGTGATCAGTCTATTTGAGCATTAGAACCGGGTACATCCAGCTGACGTGTACTAGACAGGACTAAATGTGCCTCCCTAATTTCGCTATTAGCTACTATTCAACTTTACCAGTACTAACGTGGAAATCTGCTCAGGATTCACATATACCAAAAGTGGCTAATCAGGTACAGTTATTAACGGCAACGACAGGAAAGTATGTAACTTGGGGGCATTATCTGTCTAGTCTTGGTACAACTATTAATTTTGCTATCGCTTTCATTCATATGCTATTTATTTTGTCAATTTCGTCTTGCTGCGCTGAAATTGTTTGGTGATTTAGTCGAGTACACCTCCAGTTAGGTTGCAAGATGATTATGAATGACTAATGGAATGTTTTTTATATTTGCTGGAAATGGACTTGAAATTTGAACAGAAGTCGGAACCAAGATTTGAGAATGATTTATTTCAAACAGCTCATTTAAACGACATGATCGATGGACAGAGAAGAAATAGTAAGAAAAAATATGGTTTACCAAGCAAATGTGCATGAATAAATGAATGAGTCATCACCAGTTTAATATGTACGTCGTGTTTGAGAGACAAGCGAAGTGTAAATCTAGGCGGGTAAATATAATCAATGACATGTATACATATAGATTTAAAAGCAATCGATGTGAAAGCTAATTATGTGGAGATATACACTAATTACATCCAAGGTTTAGAACAACACTATCTGTCTATCATTAATTGGTTCAAAAAGGTTTAACTAATTTCGATATGTAAAAACCGGTGTGCTGGTAAGGTTAATTATTCATTTTGATGTCTTAATTTCGTCACTACCATCTTGAAAGTGTCGCGTTTATTCAACGTCCGTGGGAACTCTTACATTTGATAATGAAAACAGAGATTTTTCGGAAGTCATGAGGCCGATGCTCATTTTAACAACCACTGCAACAATTAATATAGATAGATGGAATGTCCGGATAATGAAGGAACCTGGAACGACCAGTCAATTATCTACGGAAATGAGGAGATACAACTTGACGGTTCTCGGAATAAGTGAAACATATTGGACCCAAGCTGGACAAAAACTGTTGGATTCTGGAGAGATGCTATTGTACTCTGGTCACGAAGAACAAAAAGATCCACACACTTAGGCAGTTGCTCTGATGCTGTCCAAAGTAACACGGACAATACTCGTCATCATGAGGAATGGATCTCCATCGAAACTCTAGGCAAGCCTCAAGAAAGCGAGAACAAGAAAACAGTAATTAACAACAACCGAACAAGAATAGAGAGTCAAGGCATAAGCTGAATACACTGAATCAAACGAGCAAGTGAAGAGAAGCATTAGAGCTGACAAGCAGAAATGCGTGAAAGACCTATCAACAACAGTGGAAAAAGCTTCAACAGAAGGAAATATTGAACAACTTGTAAGATACAACGAAGTAACTGGCACGGAAATATGGTAAACTAGAGAGGGTGGTCAAGGACAAAGAAGGAAAGCCAATCACTGAAATTCGAGGACAGAGGAACAGATGGGTAGAAGATTTTGTGGAGCTATTGAACAGACCAGTCTCACTGAATCCATCGGACATCGAAGTAGCAACTACAGACCTTCCTATAGATGTCACTCCACCAACGACCGGAGGAATCAGGATGGCCATCAGACAAATCAATTGTGGGAAGCAGAAGGACCTGACAATATATCAGACGAAGCGCTGAAGCCAGACAATGAAGCAACTGAAAACATACTTCATGTTCTATTCAAGATTTCGGAGGAAGACCAAGTGCCACAGAGACTGGAAAGAAGGATATCTCATCAAGATATCAGAGAAAATAGATATGTGCAAATGTGAGAATTACACAAGCATCACTTTACTGTCAGTACTAAGAGACGTTTCTGACATTGTTACTGAACCGGATGAAAGATTCCCTAGACGTCCAGATTCGAAATTAATAGGCCGTCTCCCAAGTAAAGATCGAAGTCAGACAAATCTGCTTACTCTCTCTTTCTTCTGGTAGTTGACTGGATTATGAAGAACTCGAATTCTAACAGGAAACATGGGATACAGTGGACAGCTAGGAATCAATTAGATTTGGACTTCGTAAAAGACCTGGCCCCTCTATACCATACACATGAACAAATGCAGATGAAGACAAACAGTGTAGCAGCAGCCTCTTTATCAGTAGGCTTCAACTTATACGAGAGAGATCCTCAAATACAACAGAGAATATCAATCCAAACAGACATGATGGATAAGCCCTGGAAATGTGGAATCTCCCACGTACCTGGATATCATCACTGATGAACAAGGAGGATCTGATGCAGATTTGACGGCAAGTAATGGCAAATCAAGAACATAATTACTGCAGTTGAAGAATATATGGAACTCAAAACAACTATCAAGTAATATCAAAGTCAGAATCTTCCATACGAACGTCAAGATAGTCCTACTGTACGGAGCTGAAACTCGGAGAATTACCACAACCATGATCAAGAAAATACAAGTATTCCTAAACATCCATCAAAATAATTATTTCTAAACAATTGTTTACACAAGACACTCAATGTCCGTTGACCGTATACCATCAGCAACAGACTACTGTAGGAGAACAAACCAGCTTCCAGCTGAAAAGAAGAGGATGGTGAAAGTGAATAGAACATGCATTGAGGAAATCAGCAACAGAGTCATGAGGTAAGCGCTAACTTTGAATCGTGATGGGCGACGTAAAAGGGGAAGGCCAAGGAACACAGCGTCGAGAATTGGAAGAAAATACCAAAAGAATGAATAGCAATCGGAAACATCTGGGAAGTACTGCCCACGACGGAGTTGGATGGCGAAAGCTGATGGGCGGCCTATGCTCTTTCACAGGGGGGGTGGCAGTCGTGAGTAATCTATGCTTTTGATAGTGGTAAAGTAATTTCATGATTAGCTTGATGGATTCGGTACATAGCAACAAGGTTTTTTACTGCATAGTGCCAAGAACGCAATTATTTTTCCATAGCCAAATCAAGATACATTAATTTGACACTCATTTTTAATAGTCTAAATACTTTCTATCCCTTGTGGAATTTCGTGATATTTAGGATAGGCAACAAATCATCTCTAATTTGTGAATTATATTAGGAAGCCCCATAAGTTAATATTCAGTGAAGTGTAGGATATAAAGCAAAGGATAATATTAAACCCGATTTCGATTGAACAGCTATGGCAAAACTCCCCGAGATATTTATCTTCGTACCGAACACGATGTTAAACATATTTTTTGAATTGTTTATACTACTTATGAGTAGCCATATCCTATAACCAACCGTCAATTGTTACCAAACTAAGTACTTTTCCTAACTGGCAACTTACTAAATAGTGAGACGAAACTAAGACGTTACGTTCCCGTATTTTGCTAAACCGTCAGGGAACCTGTTCAAAATCACTTACATCCCGATTAATTGAGCTATAAACGAAACTGGAAGAACCATTCCTAAGATTCATGTTCAGCTAAGTGGATATTAGATTAGGAAGCGGAATGGTAATACTTACTATGTACTGGAATAATTACTCTACTGGTGTGTTCGGACAACTTTTGGAAGAGACTGGTGGCTTTTACAGTCGATTCGTTAAGTGTGTAATTTGACAGCCAACAATAAATAGACTGAATTTATGGCAATACGTCAGTCATATGCTAGAAGAACGTCTGAAAGTCATTACGAGAGAACATTTCCTAGATAAATTGAATGGCTACTTATTTCAATTGATATAGTATACTCAGGGAAAAAACTTAACACTTATAAGTTGATGAGTCAAGGATGACGAATTGACAGTAGATTCATGACAAATTAATGTATGTTTTTTCAGAAGTCAGATAGATTTTGGATTCAAGTGCTTCAGTAGCAAAAGTCTGAAAGCAGTTTAGATGAGTCTAAAAAGTTAAGCAAATGTACTGCATAGTTAGGATTGAGGAGTATAACAAACAGCATGATAAGAAACTATCAAACATTTTCTTGGAGATTCATGTGTTGATTTTTGAAGAAAGGTTCAAACATATTTGAACTTTTGTGCGGGAGGTCAAGATGACTAGCTGATTGTCTTACAGGTACCCGATCACTTACATAACAAGAGGAAAAAATCATCATGATTACAACATTTCTTTTACATAGGAAACTTATAGTAAGTGGGAATCGTCAGGATTCAAATAGTCTTTTCAGATAAATAAATACAGATATGACATACAAAATGATCACAATAAACAAGGGAAAAAGAATATCACAGGCCACCAACACGATCCCTAGGGATTAACCGTAAATCTGATCCATGTTTAAGAAACACTTCACCTGAAGGAAAAAAGCGAAAACAAGTCCTTAGTAAAATTAAATAATACACTATTACTGAGACTAAATTAACGAGACCTCTATGTCTAACCAGCAAAAATAATGTAGAAAGGTTATGCAAGTTAATTAATCCACTATTTTTAGGGTCATGTCGGTACTAGTTACTTTACGAAAACCCAAAAGAAATTAAGGCCCTATCCACACTTTCCAAATCATGTTATGTGTGGTATTATATATATGACGCGGCTAACTTACTCTTCATGGACATAGATGCATTTAAAACTTTAAAACTTGATTGCATAATTTAGCATTTAGGACACTGTATCACATTGATGTGGTAGTGATAGACATACATGTACATGTACAAAGTCATGAGACGCTTAATCCTTCAGAAACGGAACACAGATCTTGACTGTTTAATTAAATATCTTGTATCCAACATGTGTACACAATCCAAATGTGATTGGCAACACGTTCTGGAACCCAAAGAGGATACGTGGACACTAATCTGTGAAATCGGAATGCAGAAACTACGTAACTTAAGTAAATGTATAAGTCTGTTAAGAATCTGCTGGGTATTGGGATACAAAAAGTAATACACAAAACTGCATTATAACAGTTCGACAATAAAATAAGATTCACCTGCTGTTTGTTGAGGATTTATACCGATCCCATCATCTGTGATAATAGCGCTTGTTGCTGCTGGTACGCTAAACTAGGAAGAGAAAAGAAAAGTGATGAAGCAAACCACTTAAGAATAAACTAAGTGATCTATTTTCAAATACTTTAAATATTGTTCACATACATAAAGGGTGAGTATTTAGTCAAATACATAGTCATACATTTTCGTAAATTTATGAAGTCAGTAGTTTGGTACCTAGGTTTGCTTCCGGAAACTATCACATAGGCAGCGCCGAACATAGCAATTTACTAAGACAAAAGTTTTGTGAACGGACTGACAACCTTAATTTGAATACATAGAAGGACAAGAATTCATGAGGTTTCTGAGCTAATGGTGCTTAACATTGACAATCAGGCTTAAGGACTGAATTTCGGCGACACTATGGGCAGTGGTGGGTAGACAAACCGTTAGGATCAATGTATGGCGACAAAATTATCTGAAAACTGGTGGGGAAAGCTTATACCACGCCAGCCAGTTCTGTTTAATCGGTGGTTATTGGAAAAGTCGTTTAACAGGTTCACAAGAATCGTGGACCAAGTAACTGAAAGGATGTTACTGTTAACTTAGCCTATAAACCAGGAACGAACATGCTCTGAAAAGTAGGGTAATATGATTGATACAGTGAACAATGTACGGTAAACTATTATCCTTGATGGATGGGTCTCTTTTACGGTGATTCGCTCCCGCATAGCAAGTGGGAATTAGAGCTTAACTTTAGACAAGAAAACACACATCAATGAATTATGTGTAGAACTAAATGTACCCTACGATGGAGTGTTGCTACTGAGATCGATAGCCAACCTGGAAATAGACAGCGACGTTACGAATAATTGAAAATCGAAAAGCATTGATAAGGAGATTCCGCGTTCTATCACATGCAACACGTAGATCTCTGATAACCCAACATATAACACTTGTTTCCGAGATCTTTATTTCATGATAACCAAGGAAATGTTTTTAAAAACTCTGTAAGTTTGTTCGTAGTACATGGTGTCGTCTTATAATTTTGGACACAGTAGCGACACCTCTCCTTGACTGGATTTTAGCAGAAGCATACACTGAGAAGTTTATCTAAAGAAGAGCATGGCGAAATTAGACAACACCGATGTCTTACTAACCCAATGTCCCTATATTGGGGAAAATTTTGTCCGTTCTAGGGAAATTTGGGGGAAACGGCACAATACCCCAAAATTTACACAGATCTGGAGGGACTTCCTCAAACTTTGAGGTAAACTGCCAACAGTAATTGGACTACGAGGAAAACTCCTTAATTTCCTTAGAATCGGTAGGTTGGTAAAGTAGCTGTCTTGGAGATTGATAAATGTAGAATCCTACAGCACTTCCCCACTATAAGGCCGCTTAAGGTATTTATTGTAACTGAAGATTCACATGAGACAAACAAGCTCACCAAAACTAACTCACTTCTTCAGCAGCAAACTTCAAGACGGCAGTAAATGGTGCGTTTTCAGGAACCTTTAGTCTACGTCACACAGTGAAATATTATAAACGGACTTACACCTTGAAAGGTAAATTAGGATCTGAAGTTAGAGTGATTTTGAACGATATCTTTGACCTAAAAACTCACAAATAACAAAATATAGGATGACGTACATGTAACGTCCTCAATCAAACCTAGAGGGGGTTGATAGATAATGTTACAACGTTACCTTCACATACTTCAATTGAAAAACCCATCACTTTATACCGAGATAAGTACATTTGTTCATATGTGGGTGTACTAAAGTACTTACGCTAGATCTTTGTTATCTATTACCCGGAGCAGTGTTGTCCGCACCTGCTATTGACTCTTTCAAGAAAAGACTAAACATTTACAGAAGCATACTAGAAAAAGGAAACATATGCCGTAGGCCTTCTGTCCTTACTACACAAATCTGAATCTAACATCGTACATTTTACTGTCTGTCATAAGTTGCAACTCAGGTTTCGGAATTGGGTAGTAGGACAGAAGGCCTATGGCCTAAGTTGTTCTGTTATTATGCTTCTGTGTGTGTCAAGCTTTTCTTCAACAAATCAGTTAGAGCTGAAAACACCATTGCTTCGAAAAACGGGCTCCGATAATTATTGACTCGGTATGAAAACTTATATGACACGGGCATTTTGTTCGTTCTTGGATTTTCTACTCACCTGCTATGTCCTCCGAGAAGTCCTGATCTGGGAGGTAGAAAAAGAGAGGATATATCAGTACGAAAGTAATTTATCAGTATTCTTACACCAAAATCAGATCATCTGTCAATTTGTGGTAGGACAGAGTAAAGAGGTCTAGTTTTTAATGCCGCTCTTTACATGGCAAACACTGGAGTCCCGGAATTGCACAGGTAGCTGCCCTCTGCACGTTTTCCAGGATATCCGACTCAACTTTTAGGCAGGAGCCTGCAGCCTGAACACAGTATCCAAGCTTAATCCCCGCTGAAATCGTGCATACTGTAGTGATCTTAAGATCACGACCCACAGTTACCCCAAAATCCTTAAGAGACCTGACTACAGGTACATGCACTTCCCTCTATGCTGAACCTATTTAACTTTGTATCCACAAAGTGCATGTGGACACACTTGGCCGTGTTGAAATGCATCGGCCATTTTCTAGACTAAGTAATCAGAATATATATGCTAGCCTGAAGTGCTCATGCATCTATGACTATTGTCGTTTCTCGCCGGATTTTTACATCGCAAGTGTATAGTAACATTGGGAACAAAACTCACCACACCAACATAATTTACTTATCAATAAAAGCAAAGTGTGTCGTAGATTTCATAAATTTTGACAACTATAAACTCCTAAAATCTCTTCTTCTTATTATTATTATTATTCACAAACATCTTATGGGTACATCTATTGCTCTCCTAGATAGTCCAGATAACTGGACTACAAATCTTAGCTTACTGAAGATATTCATAAAATTTCCGAAGTAAACAATGTAGTCACATAGGTCATTCAGAAGAGTTTAAAAATGCCAAAGATATTCAGATTTTGACAACGCCACTTTTCGTAGCACCTTCATCATCGAAGTGCACCAACCCAGTCAAGTCAGAAGTCAGGAATGAATGAGGTGGAAGATATATTTGTTAGATTGCCAATAATCAGCTTAGCGATCGCATGTTGGTACGCTGGGTAAATACTGTACTCTATTTAATTTTTGTCGGTTTGTTTTCTGTGTATCTTATAGCTTTTACGATTGGAGAAAATTTGTATCAATATCCTTTGCTTCTGACCGAGGGTGAATATCTGTGGACAAAATGTGACTTTTGTTCAACAACGAATTAAAGATAAAATGTGAACATAAACTATTCCACTTGTTTGTGTAAAATTCCCGGAATTCCTTATAGCAACGACTCCGATTCAGTCACGAATTACGGCGTGTACTTCATGTAAGATCCAAACTACGTTTGGACTGCTGGACAGCTGTCTGGATGAGTTAGATACGCGCCCTCGCCCGATTGAAACCAAAACAGAGTAATTGGGTAAGATAGCGGCCCTATAATTTATCATAAATTTAAGTGTACATTATTACCTAAACAAATATAACCACTCAGCTATCCAACCAATAATTGTTCAATTGATCAAATCTAAACTACAATAAATAAGAAAGTTGATACAGGATGCAAGAAAATTACCAATCACCACAAATAACTGTTATTCTATCCTGTCTGGATAGATCACGTACAGATTCGTTCAAAAGGTAATAATTGGTCGCTCTATAACACAGAGTGTTTTCAATTCTGGAAGAGTGCTTCAATTCACAACCAAAATGCACAATTCCAGTCAACACAGGTTAAGCAATCAAAAGCAGGGATAAACCAAAATGGCTGCCGCCCAGACTTAGTATAGAGTAAAACAACATAAGTGCAGTTCGGGAAGAAACATGGGGAATTAGTGAAGGTGTAGTAAAAACGAAAACTATAATAAAATACAAATATTAATTCAAATGCAGCCAAAAAGTTAACAATGTACAACTAAGAGGATCAATAGGAACAAAGTGCAAATATATACATGGAGGGATTTTCACAAGCACACAAAGCACTAAAAATGGATCTTACACTTCATCCCCATCAACCAAACCACGTTTAGTTCCGAGTTGTTTTTCCATTAATTAACAATTTCGTTGCACTCACTGATGCTTCATTTGACTTAAGTATTTCATACACATAGTTCCCTTTACTATCTTAATGAGAGCAGGAACGAAGATTAGTGATGGATAATATGAATTCATTTTATTTCGTTAGGTTCACATCATCTGCTTACAACCTATTATATATTAAAACCAATGTTATTACAGATATTGACATACTTATAAATATGAGGGTGATTAAAGATAAATATGTGTATCATGATGTGGCAAAGATTTCGACAGATTTAATACCATCATAAAAAATTTTCTTTAAGATAAATAACGTTTGGGGGGGGAAAGTTCAGAACATTGAAATAATGATTAGAACTCATGGAGTTAACTAACATCAGATGATTGCGTAATGAAGCAACTGTGAATGCTTTTAATTCATTTGACCTTAAACGTCTCGAAATGTGTTCTTAGAATTGGACGTTGACTCTCCTTTCTGTTTTGCCAATGTGACTGCTTTGTCAGATGCGTGTAAATTTTGTATGTACAGTTTGTGATAACATGAATAGGAAACCAACTGAACTTCCATAGTGTTAAAGAACATGTTGTGATTTATCAAATTTTGAATGTCAAAAGAAGTTGATTAATAATTAAAAACTTGAGTTGGTACTATGATATTGGTGTGTTTTAAGTCCCTTGAAGCACTAGAACTTGCAACCTCAGGTTAGGGAAGAGTGTACATTGCAATATATGGTATATTTCTAGCAAAAAATATACGTAATTTACATGATTTCATAACCAAGATACGTCTGTACAGAACTTTAAAAATGGATATATCTAGCAAAACCAGCTTTCTGCCCATAAATTCTGTACACTCAGTCGTTGCCTAAATCTTTTCATTGATATAGCTCCTATTATTTTTTTGTATTCGTTCGCTGATTCGATGGCGATTTGTTACATCTGGCTTTTGATTTTGTTGTGGAATGAAGTTTCCTTCACATTTTGCAAGGTCTCCGACTTTACCTTTCGAAATGTCTCTATTGTCTCGGTACAGTTTTGTCAAAATGTCTGGAAACTAAAAAGGGTGAAACAATGAGATTTTTCTTCACTACCCAGATACTTGTCTGTGTGACGACCAAAATTCAAATATCTGGTCTCAACACAGAAGACAATCCAACGAAAACGGAATTTATTCGACCAAACCAAACTATTCGATTCTTCTGCTTCGGGCACAATCCTTAAAAAATCGATGATCATATCACGACAAAAATTTGGTGCTCAATTTATGCCACAATATGTTATAAAACAAATTCTGCCAAAAAATGCAAAATACCTTGACAACGACATGTGCTCACTGTACAGTAAAGATTTTCCCCGGTACAAAATAAAGTGCTAGATATGGATCATCGGTTACTCAACATAACTTGAAAGTACAGTAACATCAACAAGAATATTCTCAAAGAAACAGGATCAAAATCTTGTCTGCAAATATTAAGTCAAACAACGAACGTCCATAGTAAACAGTCTAAAATAAAAAATAATCAACCATTCCACTCAGTAACCTTGCATTCAGTTAAGAAAGCTCATATTGTCAATGCTCCTTCACCATACAACAGTAAAATAAAATTATGATGATTAGAATTATTGAATTATTGTATGAACTAAGAATCTCAGAAATAACGCAAATAAGGCCAAATAGAACTAAGTGAGCACAAACAAGTGTACTGTATTTGGAATTCGAAATCAGGCAGTCATCAAGTACAAAGGAATTATTAGTTTATACAAACACCACAAAATTGTAGAAAGTGTTAAATCAAACTAAATAATAAAAGTTTTTCGAAGAGGACCTAGAGATATAAAATACGGTTAAACAAGTCTTGGGTTAACGGTAGCTGCTATAACCAGATATTAAGTAGAACAACTTACATGTAATTTATGGTAAGCATAGACATTCGATGAAAACGTAAGAAAACTCACTTATTAAATTAAATTCTATTGATATTGAAGTAAAACTAGGCAGAAGATGTGACCGTATCATTCTCCCCGAAAATGTCATTCCATATATACATCGATAATTTCCTATTCATGTGAGTTGGCTAAATTTCTATAAGTTGCATTCTGAATCGAATTTTTGGACTTATTTGACACACTTCTCAAGTCTTCGTACTCAGCTTTATTTCTTCCATGGTTGAATCAGCTTTCCTAACAGATTCTATTTACTATTATTTCCCACACCCTTTCGTTCATTTTTATTTACCCCCTTCTTATAAATACACACTTCAATATCCAATTATCTGGACACTACTAATTACGTGATCTAATTTTTATGAAAGTTTTTTCAATGTCTCTATTTTTCCAAGTCATTGACCTACTTCCTATTTTGAAACATTGATTTAAACCTTTATTATTCCTATAACAACTAAGTATTTATATCACCACACTATCAATTTGTGCTTCTTAATTATTTTGTTTATTTATGTGATCTTTTCCGATGTTATCACTGACTGATAAACTGCCATGATTAGTTCGATGATTTCGTATATGCATATAAATATTATTGTATATTAGAGTGAAGCTTGATGAGGATCTAATCGA